CAGAGACAGAGAGACAGAAAGTGAGAAATCACCCCCCAAGGGGGATGGCCATGCCGCAATCCCTTCTCCTCCGTTCTCCCCTCGGGATCTTGGGCACGCACACACATGCGCTCGGTGTGAGTTTTAAGCCACCGGGTTCAGGACTCGAACCGCGGTCAGCTACATGGGAGTCCAGCGACATAGCCATTAACCAACTGCTGGTCCCGGGATCTGCAGTCTTTAAAAGCCCCAGGGGACTCAGATCCACAGGGAGTGTGTGACCGCTGTGAGGAAGGCCACTGCCCAGCGTTCACACTCCCAGGGAAGGTGGTGGACGTGCAGGTCGTTCCTGGGGGCTGTGTCTCGTCACGGACTCTCCTGAGCACCGGCGCCGACGTGCAGGTCGTTCCTGGGGGCTGTGTCTCTTCTCAGACTCTCCTGAGCACCGGCGCTGTGCCGCCCACCCCCCGACCTGGCTGGCTGCAGGAACTCACGCCTGGCTCGGCATCTCCATCTCGGCTACCTCTGCGACACTGCGGGCATGGCTGAAAGGAGGGCACAGGTCCAGGCGACTGTGTGGCTGGGACGCGCTCAGATCAGATTCCTGAACGCAACCCTCCTCGCCTTCTTCCCCTCCCTGTGCCTGCCAGGCGTGTCCGGCATCTGCGGTGCTGGGCTGTAGCTCCGTGCGTGTGCCCCGGCGTGCGGGCCACCGTAATCGCTCCTCCTGAAAGTCGGCCTTCGCCAAGCGTGAACCTGCATCTGGGCCGTGAAGGCTGGCCCAGGTGGTTCCGCCTCGGGCAGCTCCTTCTGGAGTGCCAATCATGGCCCACCGTCTGTCCTACGGAGCCGTCTCCAGGGAGCGAGTGACACACGGGGACTCGCTCCTAACCTCGCGTCCGCTGCTCTCTGGTCAGGACAGCAGGCCGTGCTCGGCCATCAGCGCGAACCTGCTCGCGCGGCTGGGGTGACAGCGCTCTGTGAAGGCATCGGGGCTGAGATCTATCTCGCTGAAGTCCCTCACGCCCGTTCTGGGTCTAAGTCACCGCCAAGGTGCAGAGACGGCCCCGCTCACCCCACGGAGCCCCTTCCTCTGTCCTGACTTGGGATGTCGTAACCCATTTCATCGCTGGGATCCCACCATGACCTGTGCGATTCGCTGTAACTGAGATCCGCAGCCTGAAATGCAGGCCAGACAGCACAATGCTATGGGAAAGGAAATCGCAAAGAAAATGCTGAATCGTTTGATATTTTGCATTAATATTATTATTATTCTTTTCCTTGACTCAAGGTACCTATGAGCTAACGTGCATTTTTTGCTGAGATTTACGTTAATGGGTATGTTAAATTTGAGAGCATGCAACAGTCAGGGTCTCTCCCTGCGTGGGTCTGACACATTTAACTGGAGCAAATCTTCGCTAGATAGCACCCCTGCGTTCCTTAAAGGGATTCCCAGAGTCCTGTGCTGCAGGATTACGCGAACTTTAAATTTTTGAATTTTATCTTATTTACAGTCAATCACTGTACATCTCTGTGGTACGATCTGAGTTTTCAGTGCGGAGGATCTAACGAAACGCGGGAAGCTCGCGGGCCTGAGCCTCGACGTGAAGTGTGGGTCTGCTCTGCCCAGGGCTGACCCCTCGTCTTCTCCCCACAGTGATGTGACCCTGGATGTGACACGGCCCACAGCCGCCTCATCATTTCTGAGGACCTGAGGCGCGTCCGGGGTGGGAGTGTTGCGCAGGATCGGAGAGACTGTGCCAAGAGGTTCAGCCATGCCACGTGTGTGCTGGGGAGCCCTCGGCTCACTTCCGGCCGCCGTGACTGGGAAGTCGACGTGAGGACAAGTGAAGAATGGGGCGTGGGCGTCTGCAGAGAACCGTCCCGTCAAGGGAAGACCTCAGCCTCTTCAAAATCTGGATTCTGGGCAGAGCTTGAGAAAAGGGCAATACTTCTCGGCCAACACCGTGCCGCAAACCGCCCTCTGGGTGAGTCCTGCTACAGAGCGGGGATATTCCTGGGCGTGGACTTCGGAAACATCAGCTTCTATGACAGTGGGGACAGGTCCCGTAGTTTACATTTACCAAAATTTCTGCGTCTACCCACCTCGTCCTTTCTTCTCTCCTTCAAGCCTGGCCAGCAATGACCAGGGCACCCTGCGGATCTGCCCTGTGACGGAGCTCGACATCCCAGCGTAACACGGACCCACAGACAGTAACACACGGCCAAAGAGCCGTCACCGAGCCGGGAGCCTTTCCTACTTGCCGTGTACACTGTCCAAAGCAGTAAGGGACGTTTACGATTCGTGAGCAAAAAAATCGATTTGAATATCATTTGCATTTTGCACATTAAAGATCGTCACTATCAAACTTCTTGCATTTTGTGTGTTTTCGTTTCTGGTCTAGAGATAGATCCTGAACGTAAGATCAGTTTCAAGCTGTACTGACTGTTCTTTCTGTAAGATCAACGTCGCACGTAATCGAGGTTACGAACTCCACAAACAGTTGACTTGAGCAGATGGATTGTGTGAGTTTCTCAATGATAGGAAAAATATCTTCTTAAAAATTTCTTTGCCAGGGACCAGCAGTTAGCGTAATGGCTATGTCGCTGGACTCCCACGTAGTCGACTGCGGTTCGCATCCTGGACCCAGTGGCTTAAACTCACACCGGGCACATGTGCGTGCGTGCCCAAGATCCCAAGAGGAGAATGGAGGAGAAGGGATTGTGGCGTGACCATCCCCTGGGGGGTGATTTCTCGCTTTCTATCTCTCTGTCTCTGTCTGTCTGGCGAGCGCACACGCCCTATAGCAAAAACTTCTTCAAAAAAAGAAAAAATATTTGTTTGCCATAAGGCATGTACACTAGTCAGAGATAGAGAAAAGGAAAGTGAGAAATCACTTCCCAGGGGGAGGCCGCACTGCAGCCCCTTCCCATCCTCTCAGGATTTTGGGCATGCGTGCACACGGACCCGGCGTGTTTATCAGGTCACTGGCTCCAGACTGGAACGGGCCAGTTGACCCGCGGGCCCCTGCACCGTACCCACCTGCCACCGGCTCACCCCACGAGCGTGCTCGCACTGCGCACCCAGGTACAGTTAGTACTGCAGCCTGACTTCTCAAAAGTGAACGGCTGATTCTCTGCAGCGTGGTGAAGCGATTTCCATAAGCCAAACTCTCTATACTTTCGCTTCTTTCCACTTGGTTTTCTGTTGTTTTTTTGGAGAGATTTTCGCTATAGGGTGCGTGCGCTCGCCAGACAGAGAGAGAAAAAATATGGACGCTTCACGGATTTGCGTGTCACCCTTGCGCGGGGCCTTGCTAATCTTCTCTGTGTCGCTCCAATTTTAGTATTTGTGCTGCCGGAGCGAGCACCGCCTGCTTCTAAGGTCAGCATGGTCTTTGCAGCAGGCTGAACCTGCTCTGTGGTGGGCGCGTCCGTTTTCTCTGCGCCAACCCTCAGTACCATACCTACGCCTTAAGGGATACTCTTGCGTTTGTTAGAATTTAATCAAAATCCAATTGGATTAAAGAGAAGGCACCCGTGTCAGTGAGGAGAGAGGGAAGGCCCTCCCCAGGAAAAGCCTCTTGTGGGTGGATCTCGCTCCAGAACAGATGGGGACGGACGTTTTCCTTCTCGGATTTCTAGGCAGGCGGATCTGGGAGCCCAGGCCCCTCCGAAGAGGACGGTCCTGGGCTGCAGGTGTCCCGAAGGCGGCCCTGCGCGTCCTGCGCCTACGTCCTCTGGTGCCGGGCAGACCGGATTTTCCGCATCCAGACTGGAGAAGCGACAGCTGCATGTTCCCGGGTCAGATCAACTCCGCAGAACCTGAATTCCGCGTGGAAACCGCGGCGTCAGGCCGGGAGGGTCGCTGAGGGTTCGCACAGCCAGGCCGACGGCCGGGGAAGGCCAGGACACGAACGGTCCCGGCGCCGTCGGTGGAGACGCCAGGCGGCCGACGCGGTTACCCACGCAGGAGGACGTTCCTCCTCCGGGCCTGCCCGTGCGGCTCAGGGCCTGCCAGGTCCACCTCCCTGCACCGGGCCTTCCCTTGCTGCCACAAGAGGTCTCCCGAAACTTGCTGTCCCAGCCCCCGCGCCGCACCCCTGCACCTGCGTGAATTCCCTCCCTGCAGAGGAGAATGCGTGGAGGGTGCGGCCGAGTTGTGCCCTCCTTATCAAAGTCGGTTCTGGTTTCATTTTTTTTTTTCTGTTTTTGTTTTTGAGAGTTTTTTGCTATAGGGCCTGTGCACTCACCAGACAGACAGACAGAGACAGAGACAGAAAGTGAGAAATCACCCCCCAGGGGGATGGCCACCCGCAATCCCTTCTCCTCCATTCTCCTCTTGGGATCTTGGGCACGCACACACACGCACCTGACGTGAGTTTAAGCCACCAGGTCCGGGACGCAAACCGTGGTCGACTACGTGCGAGTCCAGCGACATAGCCATTATGCTAACTGCTGGTCCCTCGGTTCCGGTTTCTTAGTGCTTTCTGGGATGACCCCAGTGGCAGTTAAAGTGGGAAGTGGGGCTCAGATTGTGCTCCTGCGGGTACCACTGGCCACGGCCTCGGTTATGTACAGATTTGGACCCCCACAGCCCCTGGCTTTCCTGAGAAGGGACCCACCCCAGATGCTGCTGATGCCACCGGTTCATGGCCCGCACCCGGAGTCACAGACCCCAGCCCACCGCGCTGGCCGCTCTCCCCCCCCAGCCACCACCAGGAGACGCGCACAGCGGGGGCCACCGCACGCCCATGTTCCCAGAGCTGAGGCCCACACAAAGACAGGAAAGGTGCCTCCGGGGGTGGCTCCGATCGGTTCGGTCCAGCTAGATTGGCCTGAGCACTGCGCGTTGTGCTCCCCACCCTGGCCTGCCTGGAGCCTGTAAATGACACCTGCCCCCGTGTCCCCACTTAGCTTCGTCCTCTGTGACAGAGCTGCATGGCAGGGCGCATCCGTGCGCACGGGAGCTGCGGGAGCAGGGATGGGGCCACAGCGCAGGTCCCTGAGCCCGGGCTGGCCAGCGTGCCAAGCCCTGTGTCCCTCTTCTCTGTCATACCTGCCATAGGGTTGACGTGGCGGGCCGGGTCGTGCCCCGCCCTGTGCCCCCTCTCTTGTGCCCCTCCTGCCATAGGGTTGACGTGGCGGGCTGGGTGGGAATGCAGGCTGTGTGCTTGGGTCGTATCCCCGGTCCACAACACCCGTCTGGAAAAGAAAATGCTTTTTTCTTTTTTGAGAGAGAGAAACTTTTGCTATAGGGGGCATGCAGTTGCCAAGAGACAGACACAGAAAGGGGCAGCCAGCGTGAGTTTCAGGTCCAGGTCCAGGACTCGAACCCAGGTCTGCCCTGTGGGAGTCCAGCACTTTAACCCCTATGCCACCTGCTGGCCCCATATGCATTTCTTTGTTTTCTAGGAGTTTCCTCTTGGCCACACACCACGTTTGAGATTGTCAACGCTGCGGCAGCAAATGGTGTCCTTCACCGCCCGTCTCCGGATGTCACGCCAAGTCCCTGGTCCCCAGACCCACTTCCTGTCCACGCCATCCACAGGCCACGTGAGAGCAGCCAGTTCTGACACTCGCTACCTTTGGTCTCTACCTTTGCTTTAAAATCTTACTCATCAAAGACACGAAAAAACTTAAAAAAAACTTTAATCAAATTGTAATTGAAGGCAGCCGGCGGCGTGCTGGTTAAGGCGTTGGGTCCCGCATGGACGGCTCACAGCTGGAGTCCGGACCTGGCAGCCTGAGACACACCTCAGGCACGTGTGTGCAGGGGTCCTGAGAGGAGGATGGAGGGGAGCAACGGGGCGTGGGCACCCGGTGCTTTCTGGCTGCCCGGTGGAGGCCCAGGCGCCTGCAGGTGTGGCGGGGTCACTGGCCCCAAACGCAGCAGCACTTGCATGCGTCGCTGGCAGCAGCCCTTGCATGCGTCGCTGGGAAACAGCCCAGACAGACTTCCCGCCTGGGGACCCAGCTCGGCGGCGGCTGCCCATGAGCGCCCAGGCCCAGGTCACAGGTGTTGGTGACAGGAAGGCAGCCACTGTACTCGCGGACGGCCACCTCCCCAGTCTGGGCCGAGCCGCACATGGGGAGGGCACTTGGTGGCCTGTCCCGGGACGTGTCTCTGGGCTCAGCCTCCTGGGACACTGGAAAGGGCCAGGTGGGCGTGGGCTTCTCACTGGCCATCCCCTGATTGGCGGCTCCCGCTCAGACCTGGTGGCGGCTGACTGGCCCCAGGGGTAAGTTTTCTCCTCTTTGGAGATGCCCCAGACTCTCCAAGCAGGTGACATCACTGACATTACAGATGACGCGATCGTGACAGCCCTGTGGGGATCAGCTCCAGGACCCTGTCCTATAACCAGGACCCAGGCCCCCGAGAGTCGTCCTGAGGGCACTGCCCAGCCTGAGCTCCGGAGCCGAGTCCCGGGTGAGTGGTTCTTGGCCGGGGAGGAGCAGCTGGGGCAGGCGGTGCCCGGGCAGAGCCCCGGCTTTGCAGCCCCGATCTGTGCCCTGGCCGGACTGGGAGGAGCAGGTGCGGGAGCGGGTGTCGGGGTCCAGAAAGGTGAGGGTCTGGGCAGGCCCGCCGCCCCAGGCACGCAGACACCCAGGAGACCGCACAGGGCTTTCTGGGAATGGAGACAAGCACCCCCGCCTGCCGGGCTGGGCCTTCCACCCTGTCCTCCCGGCCCCCCGCCGCCCCCCGCCGCCCCGGCCTCCTGGTCTCTGTCCCTGGGCAGAGCTGTGGGTTCGTGTCCACCCACAGGGAGGCGGCCTCCCAGGGACTGGCGTGTTCTCACGCAAAGGGCGTGTTCTCACGCAAAGGCACCCAGAGCAGCACTGGCTGTAAGTGACAGTAGGGACCGTGGTGGCTGGGAGACAGGCCTAACGGTTTACTTCTTTTCCGGAGAAGGAATTGCTGCCATCTTGTCCGGATACGGCCACCCGAGGGCGTCGGGGCCCTGGGCTGGCACCTGGCCTGGGCGTTCCTGAGCGGCCGGTGCGGTCCTCACCTGGGCTGGGCAGCTGCTGCTCTTTCCTTTGGAGAGGCGGACATGCCTTCTGCAGGTCAGCCTGGTGTTGGGAGGCACCCGGCTCTAGGGGTTGAGCCGCTGCACCCCCAGAATGTAACCAGCACGTCTGACCCTGACTGGCCCCAGGACCCCCCAGCCCACTGTTAGAGGCCGGGTGCCATGTTCGTGGAGTGAGAGGGCGAGGGCGCCCACTGCACTCAGCTGTCCTGGGAGTGGTGTGGGAGCCCTGGGTGCAGGTGACGGGGCAGTGTGCGCATCGCCCAGACGTGACAGCTGGTCAGACCTTCTCCCAGGAGGTCGTTATCCAGCGGGGCTAGGGCGAGACCAGAGCACCACTGAATTGCCGGTGACCGCATTTCCAATGAGAAGTCACAACGTCAGGTGTCCCTTCTGGGGAGTCGGTTCCAGTGAGCGGGACTCGGCACAGAGCGCGGGCTGCGATCTCCAGATGGGGCCCAGGGGTCATAACCGTGTTCCTACTTCCAGGGAAGGAAAAGGAGAGACGCCTTCTCCAGGTCGGGTAAATAAGGATCCCAGTGTCTTCGCTGGCACGGCCTGGTCTCCACGCAGGCCACGGTGAGGCCGTCTCCGTGTCTTCTGAGAACCGCAGGGAAGTGGCCCTGGACACCGGCTTCCTTTCCCAGGTCGTGTTCGGGACTCTGGCCAGCGCCGCTCTCTTCTCCCACGGCGTCTCTGCACCTGGCGTGGCCTTAGTCTGAGGCCCGCACACCTGTTCTCGCCCGCCTGGCCGTGGCCACCTCCCTGGTTCTTCTCTCCACCGGGGTCCCCCACACGACGGCAGCGCTGGTTCCCAGGAACCCCTGCCCAGCCTCGGGTGTAGACTGGTGTACATTGTGCACCGCACGGCTCATTGCACCTGTGCTCCACCTGCATCCTGAGCACCTGTCGGTTTGTCGCTCTTGCCCCAAGGACACCGGGGAGGCCGTGATCAGACAGAGAGCCCCAGCGGCCGTCGGCCTTCCCTCCCGCTCCTCCTGGGTGGTCAGCACCTCCATGAGCTCCTGTGTCCCCTGCAGGGTCACTGGGCCTCAGGACGCACACAACTACCCTGACAGCTGGGGCCGCTGGGCCCTGACCTGGGCTTCACTGCCCTGTGGTCCCTCCCGACGCCACGTGTATGGGCCTCCGTGCCTGGGCCAGTGGCTCCATGGAGCTTCTCCTGCAGAGGCACCGCCAGAGGCTGCGGCACGTCCACAGCCCGGGCAGAAGTGCCCCCGAGACCAGGCCGCCCACCCTGTCCTGGTGCTGGTGGTCACCTTCGTCGTCCTCTGCGCTGGATTTTACTTGTGTCCTCTGTGCCGTGGTTTTTGTGTGCA